TCCCTCCCGTATGCTAAATTTCACAAAGGGACGCGTGAAACTTTTGGCGCTGAAATTAATAACTCGGAAGCCGAAAACTAAGAAAGCTAGGGGGCTGAAACTCCAGAACAATGCTCTCTGCTTGCGTACAAATTAATCCCCGTGCGCGGCTAGGTCTTATGTACGAAAAAGTGAAAGTTTTGGCGCCAAAATGAATAACTCGTGAACCATAAAAATTTCTGCACGTTTCAACCAAGAATGTAGTGGACGCTTTTAATAACAAGGTTTCCCTGGACAGAGCTGCACAAGCATCAGCTAGACAGAGTTGCACAAGCGTCGCCGGACAGAATTGCACAAGCGTTCGCCGGACTGGGCTGCGCAAATCGCATGATCGCACCAGCTACCCTGGCACACGTTACTATTTCTTCGAGCACTGATAGCTTCGTGCGTAATTAGAGTTTTCGCGTTTTTCGCTCGAGTCCCCTCGCGACTAAAAACCAGTGCGTTTTCCCGAAAAACGAGAGTATATTGCACAGCCGAGCCAATTTTTAGTAACTGCCTAATAATCCCTGCATTTCTTCAAAGAAGGCAAAAAATGAAGGTCGCAGGTGATATTCTGTAAAGAGCTTAAGAATGCGATCATTTCCGGAAGGAGAATGTGCCTAAAGCAGAAGAACAAGAACTGATATTAGAAGAGTTTGGCACAAGGTGAAGTTGTAGCAGAACCAGGGGGCCGCTCATAGGGACAGATGTAAAAATCCGCTCAAGCAAACTTTTTTGAAAAGATGTTCCAAAAAAATCAGAAGAGGCACTACTGGCGCATTTCAGGGTCAGCAAAAAATATTGCTCTTTTTCTCAATTTATAGTTCAGCAAGCAATTATTAACATAAAATTAGAAAATTCCAGAAAACGGTAACTGACATTTCAATACAATCCAAAAATTTAGCGTACACTTCTCGCGTATACGCGCCTACCTCTGTTTTTTCATCGGTTACATTATCGGTTGCAAAATGTTGTTCAGGATGGGGAAAATGCGGACGGTGTTACAAAAGCAGCTACTGGCGACACGCAGCGGTTCGCAGAGATTTATCGATTTCAATGATAACATGTATCTTACCAATATCACTATCGGAACGCCACGTGAGTTATTTTTCTTTTTCTAATAAATTTTTAGAATAGCTTTTTGTGAAACACGTATGCTAGTTTATCGGTTCACCCGAATATTCACACGCTTGCTGTATTTTGCTGTGAGGCTTGCTCTATTTTGCTATTTTGCTATATGCAGTGTAAACCATGTAAAGTTCCTGACACTCGAAATTAGGTCCAAATCCAAATTTTTTTTCAAGGCCAAAAAACTCGCAGATTTCATATCTGGAAAGAAAATCTCTGATAGCGGACTGG